TGGTGTACATCCCCACAATGAGTGAACATATTTGGCATCAAAATTTAACAAAAGGTCTGCCACATAAGTGAATATTAAAAGATAAATAGAATTGAAACAGAAATGATACATATTCCATATAATTCAGCTGCAATTGTTACTCTTTCAAATTATAGTTCCATCCTCTTATTTCACAGTGTATTTACTATAGATGCGCTGACATTTTCAAAAAAGTGAATGTTCTCCTAACTAAAATTGAGAACTTACTAAAATTGCAGAAGTGCTGGACAAGTGTAAATGGGATGAAATTAAAACACTAAAACCTGAAGTTTGCACAGCAGGGTCAGGGGCCAGAAGATGGCAGAAGGCAAGCGGAGTGGGAGGAGCCAACTGGGAAACCATGGCAGGAGTGCTTTGTCCATTCCCTTAAGGCTGGGCAGCCACAGCTTTGGTTATTACACCCTATGTCTGCTTCATCCCACTAAGAAAAAAATGTACATCACACTCATTTTCCATTCTATAAAAAGGGCATTATGAGAATTTCTGACAATGAGAATTGGCTTTTATTGATAGAGAATTAGAATAAATGAAATCTCTGATTCTAGTCTTCCCATAGTGTCATTATCTTCAAAAAACCAAAGAAAAGTATAAAAGAATTCTCGCATTCTGATAATGCAATAGAAAACTGTTTCACTTCCATTTGTTAGGTGTTTTTACTCTATTTTCCATTTTTAAATATTGTAACATTTATTAAAATTTCTTAATAACATAGAAAACACATACAACATATTGTTAACAGCAGGTTATAAAACAGAAAATGCAGATGCCTTTTTTTTTTGAGACAGAGTCTTGCTCTGTTGCCAGGCTGGAGTGTGCAGTGGCGTGATCTCAGATCACTGTAACCCCCAGCTCCTGGGTTCAAGCAATTCTCCTGTCTCAGCCTCCCAAGCAGCTGGAACTACAGGCATGCGCCACCACACCCAGCTAATTTTTGTATTTTTAGTAGAGACAGGGTTTCACCATGCTGGCCAGGATGGTCTCGATCGCCTGACCTTGTGATCTACCTGCCTCACCATCCCAACGTGCTGGGATTACAGGCGTGAGCCACTGCATTTGGCCTAAGTTTTTATTGTAGGTAATGTACGCATAAAAATATGTCAAAATATCAATAGTGATATCTGAAATTATGGGTGACTTTCATTTCCTCATTTGGGCTTTTCTGGATGTCCCAAATTTTCTGCAATGAATATGTGTTTTTTCTATAATCAGGAAAAAAATGAATTCAAAGTTAAAGAAAAATTGCTGTTTAATAAGTAAGGTGCCCTTAGGTCTTTGAGACATTATTCCTAATATATCTAAAAGTTTCCACCTTCATCATGACTTAATGATTCAACTTTAAATCACCTGTGGGATTACACAGTCTCTTAGAAGAAAACAAAGGAGGATTTAAATTAGCTACCAGAGCCACTGGCGGGTTCTCTGGAAAACTTAGGGCCCAGAGGTTGGAGGGTACTTAGGTTGATGTAGATTGATTTACTATTGATTCAGACTTATGACATGAATTTCTACTGCAGATGAAAGCTTTATTTTCAGTTTGCCCTCTCAGCGCTACTAACAGTCATCTGGAACTGAGGGATACTTCCTACGATTTCTACTGCAAGACTGTAGTACAAAGAGAAAGTCGCTACGATTCAAACAAATCTGAGGAGAGACAGCCACAGTGACTTCTGTTTACAGACAGAAAGAGACATACTAGAGAAAAGGAATACTGAGGAGAAATATCTGTGCTTATGTCTACAATGGCTTTGTTGTTTTGAAGACTGAAGTTGCAATAAGCCATGTTATTTATTGCATGTGGCAAATTTGAGGATTCTACACTGATGCTTTTAAAAGAGGATAATTAAAGCAGAGCTGATTTTCAGAAAGGAGAGGGAATACGTGAACTAGGAATTAGAAATTATTATTTTAGTTGAAAATTTTGGAATACAACAGTGAAAAAAGCATGGGAAATAAGGTATTACTGGTTAAGAAAATACTTGGATACTTAAGCAAGTCACTTTAAATGAGTCGTTTTTCCTCACCATGGAAAATGAAAGAATAGCAGCCTTAGGAGTTCACATTAAACTAACATTACGTATTTGCACTCCCTCTGTGCCGAGATCTTTCTGGTATGTTATGTTAATCCTCACAACAACTCTACAAAGTAGACACCATTACCTCATTGAACATTATGCTCACTTCCAAGAAGACTGCTCTTTCCATCAAAACATAGTGCTTCTCCATAAAGAGGCTTTACTAGCAGGAAGAACAAAGGGGTAAGAGAACTGGATCACAGCAGGCTTCCATGGTGCAGCCCTAGAAATGATTAGAACATAATATCCTGCATACGCTAGTAAATCTCAGAGGCATCGCCACTGCTCAGATAGAGACTCCTACAACATAAGAGCTTAAAGCTTCGGCTGTATTCCTAGCAATGTTAGTGAAAAAACATGGAATAGTCTTAAGGCTGTACAAAGAAAGGAAAAGAAGACTCCAACTCACCCAGTATTGCTTATTATCAACTCCTTTTAGGGCTCCTAGAGGGTCATTTATTTGGAGAAGCATTGGGGATCTCCTTGTTCTTCTCACACTGTGATGAGCACAGGTGTTTTATAAACTGTAGAAAAAATCTGGATGAAGCAGGATATAGGATGTAATATTTAGTGCTGAAATTCCCTCCTAAAGAAACCTTTCCTGGTGGGTATAACATATCCTGCTTCAAAAGGTTCCTTGGGTTGAAATCAGGCAAACTGGGTGAGTGCTCATGTGTTACAATTATTCTCTCCTGCTAGTAAACATGGAGAGAAGAAGGATGAATGCTTCAGAATCCATAGTTCTCAACTGAATTTTGCCTTCTTCCCATAGGCGATGCCCAATACTGAGGACAGATCTATGATGGAGCCTTTGGGGAGAGATGAATGAAACCTAGAGAATCAAGAAACTGAAATTCTACATTTTTATAACAAAGAAAAAAGCAGAGGTAACAGAAGCCCCTGCTGTTTCCCTGGGCTCCCTCCCATCCACCAGGGATCGCCTCTGTCTTTCTTCTTCTTGTGTGGTACGGCTGGATGCTCTACAGTGCTTCCTCTCTGCACTGCTAAGCTTGATCACATTCTAAATGGTGAGTTCTAGAGTCCTTTTGCAATAATTGAGGCTATGTCAGTATGTCTACTAATAATGGATATAAGTGTGACATTGATTGGTGGACATAAGAACGCTAAATGGCATTTAATTAATCTACGTAATATAATGTAACATAAAGCCCCTCTCAATCTCCTGTCCATTGTCTGTTTTATTCCCTTCTTGGTTTTTAGAGAAAACTGTCCATTCTACACATTCTTGCCACTATTACCTTCCAAGAAAAATGTGAAAATACTATTTCTAATATATATATATATAATAATAAAATGTAGGTTAATTAAGGATTATTTGGAAAATACAGAGAAGATAAAATTATTGGTGCCCTAAGTCCCATATTCCAGAGTAAACCATAGTTAACATTTTGGTGTCATTTCTTCAGACACATAAGTACAAAATTGTAATCATTTATATTATTAGAAACTTCCTTTTAAAAAATATTTAATATGTGCATTGTCCCTTGTTCTTACTTTCTCCAAGACTACAATTTGTGATGGTGTAGTCTCTGACAGATTAAATAGTGTCACATGTATATCATACCCATCACATGCCAGAATATCAGCATTCTAGAAAAAAAAAAAAAACTATAGCAACTGTTAAAGCATGATTGAACTTGAAATATGATAGTACATGCAATGATATTTTTTCAGTTGTTGAATCATTCAGGGGCAGATGTTAAATAATAATGCGTTTTTGAATGACTTTTAGGAAAATCTCTCCAATGTCTCACCATTTGGAGTTATACTGACCAATTGTTAGACAGAAATAATCTTCATTATCTTAGTGAATTATCCTCCTAAGCTTAGATTGCTGAGACATTTTACTAGGAGTGAATATTGTAGTCTATCAAAAAGTTTTTGGGATCTAGTTAGATGACAATGTATTTTACTTTTGTTACCTACTTGCTTCATATACTGATAGATTTCTCATTGGAATTCCATGTGTTAATAAAAACAAATAACATTATTTTCATATACAGTGTGGATATACTCTGTACTTCTGTACATATATTTATTAATTGGATTGATCATAGTTTTATTCTTTTGAGAGTTTTCAGTAAAAGGCTATTTTAGGTTGACAAAATAATTTGCAAGGTCTACAGTAACTTTTTTACATGAGAATAAGTTACACAGCACATAATTTTTTTCTTAAAAGTATAAAATAATTATCAAAAACATTGTTCGCCCAGCGTCCATTTTAGAAGTCTAGTACTCATAGTGGGATCCCTACTGGGTATCACAGTATATATGGCATAGTATGTGTTCAATAAACGAGTAAGTGAAAGTTGCTGTGGGGGCAAAAGCACATAGTAGGGGCATCCTACTCCGACCAAGAGGTGAGAAAGTCTTCCAAGAAAATACCTAAGTTGAGAGAAGTTCTTTCGACTTATGAAAATAGCATGTACAAACGGATGGAGGAAAAGGCAGTATTTGTGGGAGGTAATAAGAAACTCAGCATGTTCATTGCAGAGCATCGCAGGTATCAAGAGGAGCTTTGGAATTTCTACATTGGAGGGACCTTGGGATGACAATGTGGTTGGAGGATGGGCTGGAGGGCTTTTCTTGAAGTTATGTTGCACAGCAGGCACATTGGTTTTTTTCAGACTGTATTTCTCTACTTACGTGTCTTTTGTGGGGAGGCTGGTGAATATTATTGAGAAGCAAACCCATTCAGTAACGCCTTCCTTGGCATTATCATGGGAGAAGAAATGGCTGAAGTGGGAAGAAAAAAAGAGAACTGAGGGAGTTAAGATAGGTTTTGTGATGGGTTAATGTTTTTGTGTGAAGCTATTTTTGTTTTCTCTTATTCACCCTTAATCTGGAAAAAAAATATTCCCCCCTTACCTGGGACCTTGTTTGAACAGAAAAAATGACAGTCATTTCTTCTTCACCCCTTTCTCCTCACCAGTCTCTCTCCAGGATAGAAATATTAAGTTTAGTATACTTTCTTTAACAGTAAAAATTGGCTCCTTTTCCTTCTTTTCTCCTTCTCTCCCTTCACAGCAACTATCTTCCAACAAATTAAAACTGCTGCCTTAGCTGATTTCTTTGTGGAAATAAGTCCATGTGCCAATGTGACTAGAAACAGGAACAGACATGTGGAAGAAGGAAATATTTTCTAATATATTAAGACTGTGGTACCATCATCTCTGTTTTCAACCTTACAAAATCACTGTTCAGATGATATTCTTTAAGAGGAAGAGAAATGATATGGAAAAGGAATGAAAAGGAAATAACTTTCATGTCTTGTCCTTATAGGAAGATAGGAATGCTGTTGTCTATTACCAGGCAAGAAATAAGCCCCTCATCCATGACTTCAAGCTCTTTGGATACAGAAAGGCCAGAGAAAATGTGTGGTTTGGGGGCAAGGATATGATCAGCAAGAAATATTTTATTCACCACCAAAACCCAGGGAACTCTAGCTATGATAGAAATAGTACAACAAAGTTATACACATAGTATACAAAGTACCTTTATATAGTAAATCAGTGCTTATGTGGGGCACTTAACAGAATATGAAGCAACTGCAGGATAGCTGAGTTTTTAATGACATGGCGCTAAAGTTATAAGTAGGCAGAACTAGCAAAAGATGAGTGGGGACGGAAAAGGTAGAAAAGCCATGTGTTAGGAAAACTAAAGATCCTGAAATGCATATTGATTTGCAGAGTAAAAACAAAAGCTAGAGGATTCCAGGTATGTGGTTGGTAGAAGCAAATGTGATAGAATTCTCATGTCATTATTCTTGATTATGCTAATTCTCATGATTGTGAAATTGCCTGCTACGTGTAGACAACCAAAAAGACCACATTCCAAAGGTTACAAGAAATAAAATGCTGTGATCCAACCTTCAGAGTTTACTAGCATATCATGTATGAGCAGAAATAAAACAAGCAAGATGTTAGCTCGATCAGCTTAACACAGCACGAAACATTTTTGTTGTCTCTCGCTTTGAATCAGTGCAAGAATCTGTGAGGAGTAGTGTGGTCTAGTGGGTAAAAGGGTTGACTCTGGAGCCAGGCAACTGGATATTGGATTTTGGCATTGGGATATATTATCTCTGTGACCTTGTAAAAGTTACTTAAACTTTTCTTTGTCTCTGTTTCCTCTCTAAAAAATGGGAGTTAAATATGTTATCTAGGTCACTGAGTTCCACTAAAGATTAAGTGATTAATACATTCAGTGAGCTTACAGCAGTGAAATGTGCTTACAAAAAAGTGCTCAGTAAAAAGTAGCCATTGTCAGTTCTGTCACACATGGAAACTTCCTGGCCAAAATTTAAAATAGTATGGAAGACCTGGGGATGTGTTCCAATACATTAAATACAGAAATTGAAAGAAAAGTATATATTCATAAGTACTTGTAAATGATATGAACTTGCCTGCAAAAGCATAAATGTGCATCTAAAAGGTAGAGAAAAAGGAATAGAGAATTTAGACCAACTGGAAAATTACAAAAGTGAAGAGGAAAGGTAATACTTGGTGACTAATATTAAAGGGTGAATTCTAGGCCCTAAAGGAAGTTGTACATACTAGCAGTCCAATAACCTTAGTTCCTGGGAACTACATACCAGTGACTCCCAGACTCTTAACTGGTTAGATGTCCCCTTTGGATCAGAAAATTGTTCTTGTTCCATCAATTATGCTCCCAGATTTCAATTCCCTTGCCCCAAAATTTAAAAAACAACAATTTTTTCCTTCTGACCCAGTCAAGTAGGCTTAAAAGCTATAATTTATAATATATATGAACATATAAATATATACTTAATGCTATTTTGATTCTATCATATCTCTTATATATAATTTTAGATGACATGTTAGAACTACTTACTATACCTGTAACCTAATAGACGTTATCTAAGTTAATTTTCACAATAAACTACCAAACAGTTATAGCTTTCCCCCAATTTTCCTGGCTGAAACGAGTAGCTTAGCTAGCTTAGACTCAAAAATGTTAAGTAACTTGAGAGTCATAGTGAGGATGACTGGCATAGTTCTGAATCTCCATGATATTTTAAATTAGATACATCTTTATAAAAATAAAGATTTCAAAGTATTCATTAATAGAGATTCTTAAGTACCCACCTTTGAAAGTACTTTGTCCCTGGATATTATATAATTAGAGGACTGGCACTTCCTGGCATAGCCTCTGCTACTGTGTGATACTAAAATGTATTGATCTCAGTGCCCCTTTTATCATTAGCAAAGTGAATATAGCAGCTCTGCTCTTACTGATTCCAGAGGCTGTTCTAAGGATAAAACAAAATGATGGACATGAAAGTTATTTGATAACTCTACATCAAAATTTCAAAATTTCCTGAATCATATTCTTTTCTAAACTCTGCAGATGACATGAACACATAGAGACAAGAAATTACACTGCCGTGACTGAATTCTTTCTGGCAGGGCTTTCCCATAGCTCCAGCTTTTTCTGTTCGTGCTCTGCCTCATCATATACATGATAATCCTCCTGGGAAATAGCTTTCTCATTATCATCAGCATCCTGGATTCTCGCCTCCATACCCCTATGTATTTCACTTTACCTGAATCATGTCCTTTTCTATACCCAACAGACAGATGACCTAGAACACATGGAGACAAGAAATTACTCTGCTGTGACTGAATTCTTTCTGGTGGGGCTTTCCCAATATCCAGAACTCCAGCTTTTTCTCTTCCTGCTCTGCCTCATCATGTATGTGATAATCCTCGTGGGAAATGGCCTCCTCATTATCATCAGCATCCTGGATTCTCGCCTCCATAACCCTATGTATTTCTTTCTTGGAAACCTCTCATTCTTGGACATCTGTTACACATCATCATCCATTCCTCCAACGCTTATTATATTTATGTCTGAGACAAAATCTATCTCCTTCGTTGGCTGTGCTCTGCAGATGGTTGTGTCCCTTGGCTTGGGCTCCACTGAGTGTGTCCTCCTGGCTGTGATGGCCTATGACCGGTATGTGGCCATCTGCAACCCACTGAGGTACTCCATCATCATGAACAGAGTGCTGTATGTGCAAATGGCTGCATGGTCCTGGATCATAGGCTGTCTGAACTCCTTAGTGCAGACAGTCCTGACAATGGTGTTGCCTTTCTGTGGGAATAATATCATTGATCATCTTACCTGTGAGATCTTGGCTCTTCTTAAAGTCATATGCTCAGATATCTCCATGAATGTGTTTATAATGACAGTGGCAAGTATTGTTTTATTGGTGATTCCTCTTCTGTTAATTTTTGTCTCCTATGTGTTTATTCTCTCTTCCATCTTGAGAATTAATTCTGCTGAGGGAAGAAAGAAAGCCTTTTCTACCTGTTCAGCGCACTTGACTGTGGTCATCTTATTCTATGGTTCAGCCCTTTTCATGTACATGAAGCCCAAATCAAAGTATACAAAAGCATCTGATGAAATCATTGGATTGTCTTATGGAGTGATCACCCCAATGTTGAACCCTATCATCTACAGCCTGAGGAATAAAGAGGTAAAGGAAGCTGTGAAGAAAATCCTCAGCAGACACTTGCATCTATGGAATATATGAAAGGCCTTGAGGCATGTGATGTTCTAAACAAGGGATCAGATCAGGTGTTTTGTATTCACAAAGTCACAGAATCGATGCTAAGAGGGTGTGTATGTTTGTAAAGGCAACTTTGGGATTCCTATTCTTTTCATCACAGAATGCTCATGTGTGCCTTCTTGTCTACAGAGTTTCAAGCTGTAGGTATCTATGTTCATTGATCCCATATAGGGAAATGATTTTTCATCAAGATAAATCTCACTCTTCTCTACTCTTTTTCTCTTTCTTACTCATTTTTCTCTCCCTCTTCTCCATCTTCTCCTCTTTCTTGGCCTTCCTCCTCTTCCCTTCTTCATCTACCTCCTTTCTCTTTCTTCCTTCTGTCTTTTTGGTCTCCTTTATCTGTCACTTTGAATAGGACATCTATTGCTTTGTTGTACAGCATCCCCTCTTCTGGTAAATGTTATATATATCAACATTCCCTTCCTCTGAGTCCGTGTGGTCTGCATAGGGCTAACTCAGCCTTCTAGATATAGCAGTAGATGCTGGACAAAGGCCTAGCTAATAAAAAAAGCAAATCCCTCTAGCTAAGTGATTCATTCAGAATAGCAAGTGAGCCAAGTCAGGCTAATCAAACTCAACATAAGAGGGCTGTTTGCTTAACTGGAGAAATGTGAGCCTGCAGCCAGTCTTTGACAGTATGAAGGGAGAGCCTAACTGAGATGTAAAGGAGAGTTCAGAAGGAGAGAGAGGGTGTCTGATGCTGTTAATGCCTCGATTCAGCTCTATCTAAAGTCATTTTCATATTGTTTTTAATTCATGAGTCAATAAATTATCTTTCAATGAAAAGCTAAAAGTTTAACATGAGGGGGATCATGGCAGACGGGGGGGCAAAGGCAAGACTAGATTGCAGCTCCAGAAAGAGCAGCGTGCAGAGGCTTGCACTGTGAATTTTAGCTCCCAATGGACTGCAAGAACAAACCAGCAATCCTGAGAGGACCCACAGACCCTCTGAAGGAAATGGACTGCTCCTGTAGGACCCGGGAGATGCCCCAAATACTGTGAGTGCCCCAAATGCAGAAATGGGAAGGGGAGACACTCCTCTCCCAAACACACATCCCCCACTAGAGAAGCTGAAGGTCTGTTAGCAGGAAAAGTTTCTGACTTTACCTGGAGCTGACCCAAGTTAGAGAGCCGAGTGAAATACAGAGGAAGAGGAAGCAGCAGAAAGGCCCTGGGAGCTCACTGGTTCCCCAAGCAGCCCATTCCTGCCTGGCACCACAAGAATCCATCAGGAGGGTGGCCAGAGGAGCAGGAGGTAAAACTCCACAGGGAGAAGGAACTCTCTCTAACTGCAAGTTTTCAAGCTCCTCTCACCCTCTGTCTAGACACAAACTCAAGGCTTTTGGGGGTGGCGGTGGCACTGTGAGAGTGAGACCAGACCTTCAATTTTCATGGGAGTTGGGTGAGGCCTGTGACTGCCAGCCTTACCCACTTTCTGACAGCCTGCATAACTCAGCAGAGGCAGCCATAATCCTCCTAGGTACACAACTCCAGTGACCTAGAAATCTCACCCACATCCCCGATAGCAGCTGCAGCAAGACCCACCCAAGGAGAGTCTGAGCTCAGATACTCCCTACCCCACCCCCACCTGATGGTCCATCCCTTTTCACCCTCGTAGTGGAAGACAAAGGGTATATAGTCTTGGGAGTTCTAGGGCCCCACCCACCACTGGTCCCTCTCCACACTACTACAGCTGATGCTTTCTGGAAAATGCCAACTTCTGGCAGGAGGCCAACCAGCACAAAAATAGAGCATTAAACCACCAAAGCTAAGGACCATCATAAAGTCCACTGCACCCTCTGCCACCTCCACTGGAACAGGCGCTGACATCCATGGCAGAGAGACCCATAGACACTTCACATCACAGGACTCTGTGAAGATAACCCCAAGTAACAGCCCTGATCCCAGTAGACTTGCTGGGTGGCTAGACTCAGAAGAGAGACAACAATCATTGCAGGTCAGCTCACAGGAAGCCACATCCATAGGCAAAGGGAGAGAGTACTACATGAAGGCAACACCCTGTGGGACAAAAGAATGTGAACAACAGCCTTCAGCCCTACACCTTCCCTCTGACAGAGCCTACCCAAATGAGAAGGAACCAGAAAACCAACCCTGGTAATATGACAAAACAAGGCTCTTCAACACAACCAAAAAAATCACTAGTTCACCAGTAATGGATCCAAACCAAGAATAAATCCCTGATTTACCTGAAAAAGAATTCGGAAGGTTAGTTATTAAGCTAATCAGGCAGGCACCAGAGAAAGGTGATGCCTAATGCAAGAAAATAAAAAAAAAATGATAGAAGAGGTGAAGGGAGATATAGTCATGGAAATAGCTTAAAGAAAAAACAAAAAATTCAGGAAACTTTGGACATACTTTTAGAAGTGTGAAATGCTCTGGAAAGTCTCAGCAATAGAACTGAACAAGTAGAAGAAAGAAATTCAGAGCTCGAAGACAAGGTCTTCAAATTAACTCAATCCAACAAAGACAAATAAAAAAGAATAAGAAAAATATGAACAAAGCTTCCAAGAAGTCTGGGATTATGTTTAACGACCAAACCTAGGAATAATTGTTGTACCTGAGGAAGAAGAGAATTCTAAAAGCCGGGAAAACATATTTGGGGGAATAATCAAGGAAAGCTTCCCCAGCCTTGAGAGAAACCTAGACATCCAAATACAAGAAGCACAAAGAACACCTGGGAAATTCATTGCAAAAAGATCTTCGTCTCAGCACACTGTCATCAGGTTATCTAAAGTTATGATAAAGGAAAGAATCTTAAGAACTGTGAGACAGAAACACCAGGTAACCTATAAAAGAAAATCTACCACATTAACAGCAGACAGAAACCCTACAAAGTAGAAAAGATTGGGGACTTATCTTCAGCCTCCTCAAACCAAACAATTTATCAGCCAAGAATTTTGTATCCAGCAAAACTAAGCATCATACATGAAGGAATGATAAAGTCATTTTCAGATAAACAAATGCTAAGAGAATTTACCATTACCAAACCACCACTATAAGAACTGCAATAAGGAGCTCTAAATCTTGAAACAAATCCTGGAAACACATCAAAATAGAACCTCTTTAAAGCATAAATCACATTAGACGTATAAAACAAAAATACAAGTTGGAAAGCAAAAACAAAAGCAAAGTACACAGGCAACACAGAACATGATGAACACAATGGTACCTCACATTTCAATACTAACATTGAATATCAATAGCCTAAATGCTACACCAACCATCTGCTGCCTTCAGGAGACTCACCTAACACATAGGGGCTAACATAAACTTAAAAAGGGTGAAAAATGGAATTTCATGCAAATAGACACCAAAAGCAAGCAGAGGTAGCTATACTTACATCAGACAAAACAAACTTTCAAGCAACAGTGGTTAAAAGAGAGAAAGAAGGACAGTATATAATGGTAAAAGGCCTCATCCAAAAGGAAAATATCACAATCCTAAACAC